TGGAAATATGAGAAGGAAAAGTTCAAAGATTCATGACCATTAGGATCACTAATAGATTTAACTAACTGACCAATGCACGTTCTCAATAAATTTTGCATTATAGGAGAATGTGAACTTGTAAGGAAGTAAGGAAGCTATTTATTAGTCTGAAGTGACTGCAGCGCATATCAGAAACTACATCTATCTTTTGATAAAGTTTAATCAAGAGCTGTGCTAGGCTTTGTCTAGTCACAGCACTTAAAGTAAGATACGCAGGTTATAGTAGGATGCAAAAAGTATTTGTTTGAAGCCAAAGAAGCTGTAAGATTCACATCCAGTTCATATGATTCGAAAAAGAAGAAGCGAATGTCAAATACAAAACAAATATCAAGACAAACTCCTTAATTCTTCAATTTCGATGCTATGTAAGTTCATAAAAATGATGTTCGGAATAAAATCAGAACAACTAATTGGGTGAGTGAGAAAAAAACATTATCAAGCCATGTGTAACCTTGACCCATGACCACAAGAAGAAAAAAAAATCATCGACACAATTTTTCTAAACTGTCATAAGCAGACATAAAGTTATTAAATTTATTTCCCTACATGCACATATCAACATAAACCACAGCACAATCACCAGCAGTAGTGAAAAAATTTTCAACAAGGACTATAAAACTCAATGATCGATATCTGTATGCATGTACGTGTATGTTTGTGTGTGTGTGCTTGTTGGAGAATGAATGTATAGTCATATAATGAATCATTTCACCCAAGCACTAATCATAAATTTTAAATGCTCACTATCTGCACATTTGTTATCATACTTGTTAGTAAGAAGAACTGTAAAAAAAATAAATTTATGTATACACTAGCACCAGCAACAATATAGCAGTTGTAGTTTATGCGCTATCAAGAATGATAGAAAGAGAAGAAGAGTGAGAGATAAAAGGCATAAATCATTATGAGAACGATGCACCCCAATCATACAGCACAGCACAAAACATAATATCACTTTACCAACTGGCAAATAAATTGCGCGAAGCAAATAGTTATAGGGTGTAGTTTTTTAGTGTGAGGGAAAATATGAATGTCATTGAGATTTTTCAACAGCAGATACTATAGACAGTCAGGGAGATCATTGACATTCGAAAAATATAAATCGGAATCATAGCTCACCAAATTAAATCTACATGGATTAATTATAAACTACTGCAACTGCTTGTCTTTTGCTAGTTTGTTGTCATATGGAGATATCTACCCTACTGAAAACTGTCTTTCCATCCACAGAAGTGAGATTACATATTGTCATATGTTCAACAATCTCTTATAAACTCTCGCTCGCTGCCTCTCTAGTCGCTCTTGGTTTATTTTTATCATTTGTCGTTTAAGTTCATTATTGGCCTCATTGTACAAGGAGTGAGATGGTGCCTTCCCTTAATAGACTTTATTTCTATTTTTTTTTCTGCAAGAGAGACAATAGATTTATCTTCTTTGTGAATAACTTTTTTTAAATCCCTCAATCATTAACACTGCTATAGAAAGATGTAAAATACCAATTTACCCTCATTTGATTGTGAATTTCTTTCTTTTTGTTTTATTTTAATTTCTTATCAACATTTTTCATTGCTTTTATTTTCCATTTTCATTATTTTTCTATTCTGCAAAACTGTGTATAGAGAAGTACTCTAATGTCCTTACAATGAATTGATCAGATTAGCTGTTTGAATCACGTTGGCATTCAGCCATGGTTTCTTCTATTCCCCGATTGCTCAATGACAAGAAGACGAAACCAGAAATTGTAAAAACGAGGGTTCGATACTCACACGAAGCAAGTTTATTTTTCTCAGCTATATTCACAACATTAAGTTCAAGATAAAGTTTCCAATTTCAATTTGCAAGTCTAAAATCTTCGTGAGGGACTCGAAAGAAAAAGTATTAAAAGTCTTTTAATTAAATTCCTCTTTCTCCTTGTTTTCTTGTATTATTTTTAAGTTAGTTGAATATTGTTGTCGAGCACGCCTGATTTATTGATTCACTCATTCGACTCAAGTGTTTTTCCTTTCATTCAACACAAGAAAAAAAATTGTGAAATGAAAAAGCAACAACAATGAACACAAATTTTCCATCCAAAAGATTTGTGGTGTGAGATTTAAAAAACAAAAAAAGCATAAAGAAACGCAGGCAAAACTTTTTCTTTTAGACATTTTTGCATTGAAAGACAGAAAGATTTCCTAATGAGGTTTTTGGCTGTTTTGCGACAGAAAAATTATTCATAAGGAAGTTAATTAATTATTTTTTTTATTCTTGTTGTTACGCGGAAACAGCCCATAAAAGTTTTAATTATATTTTCATTAATTTCACAGTCAAGTGGAAAAGTTTTTTTCTTCCTTCTTCTTCATTTTACGTTTTCAGTCTCGTTCAAACACAATTCTTGAATATTTCATTACTTCGTGTACTGATTACTTTTACTGATGAATTTTCTTCTTCTTACAAAGTCCATCTCAAATAAATTATGTGAATGACAAATTAAAGGAATAAATTGTCATTTTAATTTTTACTACTTGATTTTAAAATCCAGCGAGTAAAACTTATCATCCTTGTTTAAAGGTATAGTCGAAGGAACAGGAGAAGGGCTTATTTGGGTTTTTTTTGAACTTCCAAAATAATGGATTTTAATTTATTTTACTGAAAAAAATCCATAGTCTTAGCACATTATTGGTAAGAGCCTGGATAAGCTCTAGTATTCACTGCTAGGATAACGCAAGTTTCTCATCACTGGTATTCGCAAGAGCAACAAAAGACATTCATTTATTCCTTTTAACAAGAAGCAAGTCTTAATTTTTAATGCAAATTAAATAAAATGTGAAAATTACATTAAATTGCAAAAGTGGACTGAATTCAAATTCATCGCATCGTTAGTAGTGAAGACTATGCACGATGAGGATTTTTTTTTTATTTCTTCAGTTTCCACTTAATAATTTCTTATATATTTGAGGAGAATTGAAAAGTTTTTCATTCTTCTACTTGCTTCGTCTTGTTGTGTAGTCTAATTTATTTAAATTCTTGATTTTTCTTTTCATTTGCAAAAAAAATAAAATAAAATGAAAATTCCTTCTTTTCCTTCGAGTCATCCCTAATGAATTCTTTCATTCATAATTGATTCAGCTCATCTTGTTATGTTAAGTGAGGATTTGTGTACACCAAGATTATGGCATGTTCGGAATGAAAAGTTTTTTTATTCACAAAATTAGCTTGCGGTTTCTGATTTTTTAAGGCTAGATCGTCTAGATAAGAATTTTAAATACTACTCGTATTTATGTGCATTTATCCATCATCTGCCATGCTGAAAGATCTCATTTAAATTTTTTTAAGGTTCTCTGTATTAACATGCATGTGTGTGAGACTAGAAAATGTGCGAAATGATATGGAAAGAGGTTGAATTTATTTGTGAACATGAAGAAAAAATTTAGGGGTTGAGAATTGTCAGGAATAAAAGAAGACGAGCACAAACAAACCCCCGATGATATTCAAAAATATTCGAAAAAGTTGAATAAAAGAAAGTAAATTTCACGTATCAGCCAGGGTGCTAACATAAAAAAACGAATGCTCACACAAAAAATGAGAATTTTTCAAATAAGGTTCATCATTGAATAACACTGGTGATTATGTAAAACAGATCACGTTCTGTCTGTTTAGGGGTTGTAAAGTATATTGTACACATAAAAAAAAATCAAAGCAATATAAAAAGGATACAATTTACATTTGTGTTACCTTTTTTTCTGCTGTATACCATTGAGGTTTCACATTTTGCATAATAAAGACTTAATGAAATCGTATAAAAGACTTTTTTTTTGAAATTATGAAAATTAATGTCGCGATGTCACCAAGCGTAGAATTTTATAAAATCACAAATTATTGTCATTGACTGATAATGGAAATAAATGAACGAGTAAAATAAATTTACGTGCGAAATCGTCAATTATGACGAGCAGTGAATTGAAAATTATTGAAATTTTATGTGGTAAAAAAAATTATTACGTTTATTATTAGCACATATCAGGGGCGTGGCCAGGAATTTGAAGAGGGGGGGGGGGGATTTTTGTATAGAAAAATTTAAGAGGGGGAGGGGGGGTGGGATTTATGTGATTTTCTCATAAAAACCCTAGCATAATAAAGAAATTTCTGTTCACGTTGGGGGATTTGTCCCCCGAATTCCCCCCCTGCTACGCGCCTGGCACATATAATGATTGACTATAGTCAATATTTATATTTTAGATAGAATTGCTGACAATATTTAATTAGTGTGACGTGCTTGTTTTTATCAAATTAAATCAATCATTTTGTGCACGTTCATTGAAAGATTCTCTTGATAGTTATGGGATTGTTCATAAATGACGAACATTATAAATCAGATTTTTAAATGCCCTTCTTATCGTCCGTCACAAAATTTCTTTAAAAAAATTTCCTTTGCATTTTCATACAGCAATGGACCTCTTTCCTCTTTCCATAGGAACTCCACTGGGTTCATTTCGACTCTCTGTGCCGTATTAAATCAGAAACATAAAATTCACAGTGCAACAAAATTTTAGCTCACCTCTCTCCTTATCGTTACGAATTAGCCAGCGACCCCTTCTTATAATTTAATAAAACTTCAAGCTAGTTCTTCATTTAGAAGCTGAACTTATATATCTATAAAAAGTAAAACAATGAAGATAAGCAATAAGTAGATGATAACAATAAAAATAAATAAATACTTGATTGAAATTCATTTAAAAGGTCCAGACCGGCAAGATAGCGATGTTACTTCATTAAAGTTTTTCAGTAAACTCACAATAAAATCATTAAAAGTATCGAGAATATATTAGCATAAGTTTTTTGTCACACTAGACCTTGATAAAATCTAGAGACAATTTAAATTCAATTAAGCTCTGATAGGTCATAAATTTTCATTACTATGATGTATATAAATAAGTATTTGATATCAATATAGAGTCAGTCAAGATTGAAGAATCGTAGAAATGACACTATTAGTAATATCTATTCTCGTGATTTTAACAGCTTATTTTGTGAATAAATACTTTTTAAACTTCTGGACTCGTCATGGATTTCCTCAATTGAATCCAAAGTTTTTGGTTGGCGATGCTGGAAGTTTGCTGATTGCAAAAATTGCAATACCTGATGTAGAGAGAGTAGCGAAGCTTTGAAAGTGAAGCGGAGCTTTAAAAAGGGAGGCTCATATCAAGTCAATATACACACAACACATACATTTTGAATAAATTAAATAAATTATAAGTTTTCGATAGTATTAAGAAATAAATTGGTGTTTAAATATATTGTTTAAGTGTGCTACAATAAGTTTATAATTAAATTAAGTCGAAAAAACCGCAAGTAAACTATATAAATAGTGACTTTTCCATAAATTGTGTCAGTAACCTAAATTGTGACTTTATATTTTCGACTTTGTCTGTCAATTATGACATTATTAATCGATTTTGACTCTCGATTGTGACTTAACTTGCGTCACAGATCTACTATCCTCGATAAAAGAGGGAAATCTGTGTTATTTACTGATAAATATCCGTTTATTCGGATATTTTCATCATCTTTGGGATCCAGACGAGATCCAGTGAAGCGACGGCATATTATTTTTCATCTTTTTGGCTGTTTGGGTAACAAAATATATTATTTTCATATATTTATCTTTTTTGTCCGCTACACTGATTATGTGGAAGATTTATATCAAAAAACAAAGCATCTCAAATGTGTGGGTGCTTATAACTTCTATAGACCAGTTTTATATGTAAATGATCCTGAAATTATACAAAATGTGCTGATTCGAGATTTTAACAATTTTCATGATCGAGGAATTCCAATTGATGAAGAAAATGATCCACTAAGTGGACATTTGTTCAGTTTGGAAGGTCAAAAATGGCGAGACTTAAGAATTAAACTGTCACCGACATTCACGAGTGGAAAAATGAAAAATATGTTCTCAATTATTCAGGACTGCTGTAAAGTACTAGAGGAATATGTTGAAAAAAATGTTAAAAATAGCAAAAATTCTTTCGACATAAAAAATCTTTTTGGAAGATATAACACGAATGTCATCTCATCAGTTGCATTTGGAATTGAGAATGACTGCATAAATGATCCCAACAATCTATTCTATCATTTTGGAATGAAAGTATTTCAACCATCATTTAAAACTACACTTTTAAATTTAGCATTTATGATCGCACCTGGTTTAATGAAAACTTTCCACATAAAACTTGCCGATGATGATGTAGAGAAATTTTTCATCAACACAATTCGCGAGACTGTTGATTATCGGGAACGTAGCAATTTTAAGCGGAATGATTTTATGAATTTATTGATTCAACTGAAAAATCAAGGCTACATATCGGCAGATAAAAACGAAAATACAAATGAGTTGAATGTGAATCAGCAGAATTTAAAAAAAATTAGTTTAAATGAAATTTCAGCACAAGCATTTGTATTCTTTTTAGCATCGCTAGAAACGTCGGGATCAACAATGACTTTCTGTCTATTTGAAATCGCAAAAAATCCGAGTGTACAACAAAAAGTTCAGGAAGAAATCGACACGTTGATACAAAGTGGTGAAGATATCAGCTATGACTCAATTTCTAAACTAAAATATCTCGAGTGTTGCATTGATGAGACATTACGGAAGTACATGCCTGTTCCAATATTGGTTCGAGAATGCATTCGTGATTATAAAATTCCCAATACTGATTTAGTTATTCCAAAAGGAACAAATGTTCAGATACCTATGTATGCATTGCATCGTGATCCGGAAATTTATGACAATCCATTGGAATTTAAGCCCGAGAGATTTTTAAATTCATCAAATGGAGGTGGAAAATTGAAAAATGGAATATTCTATGCTCCATTTGGCGATGGTCCTAGAAATTGTATTGGTAAGCATTTGAACATTGGCTTCAATCTATATGCTTGATTTTTAAATTCTTTTCAGGTATGAGGATGGGAAAGATGATGACTAAAATTGGACTATTTACACTTTTGTCAAAATATTCATTTGATGTTGTTGATAAGAAGCTACTTCATACAGAAATTGAATTTAAAATCAATCAGTTTTCAGTTGGACCAAAGGATGCTTTAAATTTAAGAGCAACTAAGAGATTTAATATTGTGTGATGGAATTATGATAAATTTTTTTGGGTATTCGTTCATAAATAATGTTTAGGCGAGAGAAAGGAGGGGGGGGGGGGGGGGGGTTGGGGGGCTAACAGTGCGTAACATTTAAATAAGTTTAAATTGCCATTGAAGGAAATGAGGTTTAAAAACTGAATTTTGACGTCATTTATGAGCAGCCCCTCTAACCAACCTTAAACATCATATTCACAAATTAAAAACATTGATTTATGAACAAGTATATCTTTATAATTAGCCATACCTATCAACAGAATCAACCGTAAATAAATGAGAAGTCAACAATGTTTTAAAATATATTCAAATAGCCTAAAAGTATAGTTTCAATTAAGAACATGATTGACCAGCTGCTGATTAAGTGGCGGCAACAGACGAAGTGTGCGTCTGAACTGAACCCATGTTATGAGCTGTCAGAAAGAAAAATGTTTCATCATGAAAATGTTAAAATAATAATATGAAAAATATATAAAGCAAACGAGTCGAGCAGTCAGCCAGAGTAAAACTGATTACTGACACTTGACCTTGCTCTTGTTAATGAAGTTGCCATCATTTTTATGTATCTCTCTTTCTTACTCGCTCACAAAAATTATTAAAAATATGTCAAAAAAATTTTGATGGACCGACGAGACGCTAAACGCAAAGTTGAAACCTTTCATCATCATCATCAGTTGCCCTATAGCAAATCTGAGAATAAGAAGAAAAAAAAATGTTGATTTTTGATCCCCATTCAGTATGTTACATATATTATAAAAATGTACGAACTGGCCAGCAGTTGAGTTGAAGGAAAATTATAAAGTCGATACACATGTTTACATTTTTCATCCCGCATCATCATCATAACATGCATCATTCATTTCTGAAAAAAAAAAAACTTATTTCTCGTCCAATGTTCTTTATTTACTCTCCATAATCGGTCCATTTTTTTCTGATACACACATAATAAAAATAATAATAATATGTAGAGATGTACGAAAAAAAATGGGCAAACGAGTGAGATGAAATGATTGATGGCTTTTTGGCTCCGATTTACGATTCTCATTCCTCTTTATTCTTTTCTTGTTACTTCAGTAAACGGTTTTGATATAAATGTCGTGATTTATTCTTATTTTGTCTGGTGATGCTAGGGACATAGGCTGATATTTTTAAAAAGAGGGAAGTTCGAATCCAACAGAACTGATTTTTTAAAAAAAATAAATTAATGAATGCGTCTCTATCCTCACAAGATTCCGTAATTTGTTCTCCGCGTTGTTATTTCCCATTGAACGATCGAATCGTATGAAGCAAGTAGAAGCGCAGAGTGAAACAACAGAAAAAAAAATCATGTGGATTTCATAAATTACAAAAGTACACACAAAACATAAATAAAATAAATAAATTCTGACGGAATGCGACGCAATGAAACCAGTTCTTCAATCAAACAGCTCTCTTTGTGCGTTTTCATCTTTTTTATAGCCTTTTTTTTTTGTCTTTGAAGTTAAAGAAGAAGGAAAGGAGCGAAAGACGAAAAAATCTTTTTTTTTTCTCCTTTATTTTTGTTTGTTTTGATTTATATATCTTAAATTTATTTATACATTATTATGTTAGAAACGTGCAGTGACTCTATAAAGCAGCAAAAAATGATCTGTATTCATAGAAAAGCGGAACGCATGAATCATAAAAAATACTTTCGTAGCAGAAAAAAGGAAAAGGAATAAGCGAGAAAATGAGCATCATCATCATCATCATCGTATATGATTCATATAGATTGCGAATTCTATTCCGAAATGGAACTATTGTTGATTATGATTATATAATGTGTACGGATATGATATTCGCAAATTAGTGAAGAGAATGCTTTGTGAATTTAAGTGTGTATCATGATCGTAAATTAATATACTTTACACGGGTTATTACTAGTAATTTTGCATTAACAAGCATGACACAAAATTTTTATTGACAAATTTATTGATTAAAGGATTAAACTTAATGTAACAGCTAATAGGCATATTCTCAATCGAAAACTGGCCCGACCAGGATACATAAAAATGTTGTTAACATGGCAGGCACTTGGAAATGACTGGACTTCTGATTCTAAGTATAATATCCACTTAGCTGTCATATAGACATCATTTCAATTTATCCTGACCGGGTTATGCATTATATAATCTATATCTAAGAGATAACTACATTATGCAGTGAAAATTCATAGTCATAGCAGCGCTTTTATTCTAATACACATGCATAATCTCATAAACATCTAATTGGATTTCATTATCTAGTAAAGTATGTTCATTATGAATAATACAGCAACTAAATTTTCTCAAAATATCCTCTAGTATTATGTATTTTCGTATCAATCTGATTATGCAAACTTAACAACAATACGAAATGCTCGTTCATAACAATAAGTTACGCATCATTCACAGTACAGGCTAATGAAAAAATCCTGTTGCTTCCAAATTAAATTTAGTCATCAAGTATAATTTCGTCATTACTTGTATTCATATTGTCGTGTGATTTTGGCAAATGAAATGATGTCGACAAGGCGCTTGAGTTCTTAAAGCTTCAACAATAAATTTATATTTGTGAAGAGACTTTTTGAAAATTGTGGCTTGTGAGATGAAGACTTGAATGTTAATGTTGTAATGTACTCAATAGGGGAGAGGGAGGAGGTGAAAAATGCTTATCTAGATCCTTTTACACCTCTGCTTCATTATTTCCCAGAAGTAAAATATGCTGATAATAAACATGTAATGCCATCGCGTAAGCATCCCATCTCAAGTCGACTATAATGTTAAATAACAAAACACAGAATTCTTCACGAATATTTAATAAATATCTTTTATTACTTCCATGAGAATTTCATGTTGTTTGCTCCTGCTTTGTTTGTTTATAATTAGGCTGAAAAAATCAATTTCGTTCGCTTATTTTCATCACTGAAGGTGCTTATTAATGCCTCATGAATTTTTTAAGTAAATAGAAAAGTCTCTTAGTTTTATTTCAATAATAATTTTCATGAGATTGTTACTTTTTATTTTAGAAAACAGCTCTTTTGAAGTACCGATGTTTCTTAGTTCCGTATCTGGAATCTTGAGATTTTTTGGAAATATTTCTAATGGATTTTTTTGATCTTGATACAGGATTATTTTGGATTTTTGAGGTATTTGTTCATAATATTTGTATCATCTCATCAAGAAAGACTTTCAATCTCATATTTCAAAGGTTTAAAAAACCATTATGTAATGGGCAGACACTTGTCACAGAATGAAATTCTTGTAGGAAATTCAATACTTCTATTATATTTCTTGGTAGGCCTACGACAAGTTCGGAGAATTTAATAGAAAGTAAATTATTGTTCTTGTTGTGGCTTCTAGTAGAGCATGTTCTAATATCTGATTGTTGATTTTCAGTGCTACCATTAGGATTGCTGTTCTATTGATCAGGGGCGTAGCTTGACAATTTTACCGGAGGTCTCTAAAAACCAAAAAAAATCCTATGCTAAAGGATAGGACTCTACATTTTAGACAGCACCATAATGTCATTCAATAATGATGATAAGTCCCTAAAAAGTTTCCTTTCCTTGTAAAAATAGCTACAACCCTGCAAACAAATATTTCGTTCTTTAGAACTCAAGCATGAAGGAAAAAGATGTAAATCATGACAACGTTATAAATTTGTCTCATTTCCGAATTTACTTAATCATCAAAAATTCAAAAACTCTGTAGAAATGAGCCTCAAAATAAATTATACTAGTCTTATAATAATTTCACGTAGTCAAAATTTACCACTTTTCCTTCAATAGTGGAAGTTAATAAATCAAATGAGGCTTTCTATTCTTAAGGCACACAGAAGCTTGAATTTGCAGAATAACCAAATATCACATAAAATTCATCAAATCATATCATAAAGCACATCCACACATTCCATAACCATCAAATAAATCGATAAAGTTTTATCATTCAACATTTGATGGATATTGGGTACAACAATATGATGTTAGTTGTTCAGCATACACCAAAAAAACAGTAGCAATAACAGAAGAAACTTTTGATTCATGAGCGTGACATTTATTTAGGTCAGGAAATTTCCGAAAAAAACTTTTCACAACTTACAAAAATAATTTTTTATGTCATTTTGTGCCATTTCTATTACAACACTTTTTTTTGGATACTATTTGTTTTGTTATAAATGTTTTTATAGATAGATAATAGTAAAATAGATGGATAGTCATTTATATAAATGAATGGTCATGAATATATCCATGCTAGTCACAATACATATAGTGTTGAAAAGAAAATGTTCACCGTCATTTCCTTTTACATACCAAAAAAAAAAGCGTTATCACTTTTATGAGCATCCATTATGGAACTGCAAATTGCTCTCCCTTTTTATGCTTATCATTTTCAAATAACTCGACAAGAGAGTGCAAGTCTAACACATCACAGCGGTAGAAAAAGAGGATGTAAGTAATCTGTTAGTTAACAAGATGTATACGTACGTGCATGCAAAAAATATAAATAATAGGATGCGGTGATGACAGCTCATAAATTACTACACACAATTCTAATGTGAAAATTGCATTAAAAACAGTGCAAATAAACCAACAGGTGCCTTTCAAGTAAGCAATGTGAACAGAGAGGTATAGAGTAGAGGAATTAATAAGCAGGGATGTAGCCTGATTTTATTTGGGGATTGAAAGTTTTTTTGGATGGAGGCAATAATTTAAGTGAGTTCAGATATGCAACAAACCCTTTGGCCACAACTCCACTGCAAACAAGTATGAAAACCCACCTCAAATGAATGAAACATAAAATATGCTTTGAGGGACAGTCTGACTATAATCATATAAACCCAACCTTTTCACAATTCAACCGAAAAGTGCATCCTCCGAAAAATTTGCACTAAAAACCCATCATCCAATTTGTAAATTGCCATTCTCTTTCTCTCTCTCTCCATTCATCATCATAACGTCGGCGGTAAATTCAACACATGATTGTAAATTAAAG